GACAGGCAAGAAAATATAAATTAAAAGTTTGACACTAACCTTGCGAAACGGGAAGGAAGAAGACAACAATGTCGTAAAAGGGGCCGTTGCAAACCTTTTCTCTGTCGAATTTTCTTAGTTCACTTCCATATGAGCCATTATATCCGCGCCATTCAAACCTTAGATTTTCTTAATTCATTTACCGCTTCTTTTTCTCTTTCTAGTTAATTCGATCCCATTTGTAACAATTGTACCTCTTTCTGAAGAAAAAGAGGTTAATAATCCCTGACAAAAAAACTGATTTTTCAGATCAGTTTTTTGACGGTTTTGGAACCAATCAGTCCTACAGGCAACCCACTCAACCTCACCTCACTGTTCGTAATCGACCTTTGCGATTCATCACCAATCTTCTTCCTCTTTTGTAAACCTTTCTTAATTTTCTTCCGCATCTAACCCGCATCACAGCTCTTCCTCTGATCTTTGGACGCCTGATTCCTCTCCATCTACTGTGTCCTCGAAAAACGGTTCTTCCGAGCATCACCTTGACTCGCTGGTACCTTCGTCCAACACGAACACTCATCTTGCCTTTGTATCGTCTTGCACGACGCCATCGCCTTTTGATCATAAACTGAGGTCGACTTCTAATGTAGATTCGTCGTCTTCCAAACCGGAAAGAGATCTGTCCTGTTCGATTCCTATATCTAAGATGCAAAAAGCAAATTTGAATTGTTAATATAACAGATGAGAAGAGAAGACACAGGAAAATAAGGAGAGCTTTAAGTCTTGAGGTGCTCATCTGTGGGCCACATATTTCTTACTTTACGTTTATTCTTCGAAGGTGGAGTGAATATTTAACCATTATAGCCAACCATTAATTTTTGCGCGATTCTGTTGGCTATTTTTTACGTCACGAGGAGCAAGCTCACCAGGCAGTTATTACGCTATAATACCCGTCTTCGTTAATGTTTGTCCTTGGAAGATATACGAACTCGTTTGGTAGAGTCTAGCGATAGTCATACAGAAAAGCTGATGTCAAATGCTGCCCCGGAAAGTACACACAAACTTTCAGCACACAATATGAAAATAAATGGAAGAGTTATGAAAACTGGAAAGTTATTTACCTTACTGGTCTTTTTCGACCTCTATAACGTATCCGAAGGCTTTTTCCTCGCCTATAAATCTTTCTTTGTCGTCCCCTGAACCTAACGCGCATGACAGTTCTAGGTAACATCTTTCGGCGCCTGCGTCTCGCCCTTCTCATCGTCCTTCTTGACCTCTCTCGTCGTCGTCTCTGCCTTCTTCGTATTACTCTTCGCGTCCTTGGCCGCCTCCATGCACCTCTGTACATGATTCGAGCCCTACCGCGTTTTAAACGAAGTCGTCTTAGTCCATTTCTAAATCTGACGCGAGGTTTCCCGCGAATTAACCGCAGTAACCGCCAGCGTCGGTCCATTCGAACCTTGACTGGTTTTCTAGGTAGCCATTGCCAGCCCCTCCTACCTCTGATTCCAATTCTGTTATTGCGATACCTACAGAAAAACTTATATCGTTAGATGATCAAAGGAAAAATCCAGGCTATTACATCACAGTGCAAAGATTTCGTACACGTGAACTCCGCAAGCGGAAATGCTACTGAAACTGCCTACATGCCCCCAGTAATTTTGATAAATTAAATTAGCTTTTAAGGGTGCCAAACCTAGTCGTCATGACGACATTGTCTCCCTCACATGTGAAAATATAAACGGTATGAGGAAATGTTGTTTTTTAAAACAGGAAAACATCTGGTATTTCAGTGATATCGATATAATTACGAATTCACTTTTGCATCGAGTGAACACTAAGAAGTAAACACTGTTAGTCTCTAGAACTCATTTGAAAGCAAAAGCGCAGATTTTATAGGCAGGCAATTTCTCATTATTGAACTATAGGATCTTTCATCGAAGACCTGTTTAATTACCTTATTTTTTTCCACTTTCTTCTTATTCGGCCCCTAAAATGTCTCCCTTGACGGTAAACATTAATCCACTTTTTGCTAAGTTTAAAGCGAAAAACATTACGCCGTCTTTTCCGTCGTCTTTGGCGTCGGAACATGCGACGCCACTTCCTCACGAGCTTCCTTTGTCGTCGCCTTTTTGCACGTCTCCTTTTTCGTCTCTGTCTTCTTCCTTTGGGAAGCTTTCCTCGGACGACTCTCCACCTCATACCGTAACGTATCCTGAGGCGAATTCCTTTAAGCTTAATTGGTCTGTATCGCCCTCTCCAGTAAACACCGAGCCTTCCACGACGTCTTTTGATATATGACCACCTTTTGCGACCCACGAGAATCTTAAAGCGACGTCTGATTCTACGTACTTTGCGATGTTTACCATTGAGAGTTGCTACAAAGTTCCTCCCTCGGCGATATCTGTTTGGAAATTGAGTCAGAAGTCATTAGTTATTAAAGCTTTGGGAAAACCCTCGATCATTGTAGCCATCATACAGCTCTAAAACAGTCTTTCAAGACGGCACTTTACAGATCTTCTAACTTACTCAAACTTTATCCATCGACGTCGATAGCGCATGCGGTACCCACCACGCCACTTGACAATAGGCCTCCAAACTCTGTGATACTTGAAACGTAGCACAGCGCGCCTGCTTCGGCGTGCATAACGCTCTCGACGCCTTCGACGACGCCTTCGCAATCTGTTTCGCCAACGTCGTTCTTTCTTTTGCTTCCTGTTTCGCGAACCTTTGTAAATTCAAAGTCAACGTATAAGCGTGATAGGTTTTTGAGTTGCACCACTAAATACGTTGACGTTTCAAGTTGGAAGTTAATTCATGCAAAATAGCGCTGAATTCCAACGGAAAGAAATGTCTGGAACTACTATACCATCTGATTTCTGATATGAAGTCTAAAAAATTATACTTCAATGAATAAACATATACGTAATTTTTAGACAGTTCAAAATTCGAAACATCAACCGACACCTTTTAATTGTCGATAGAGACATTTGCGTAAAAGGAACTGTTTTAAAAGTACTTGGTTTTATAAATTAGTGATCAAAAAGCTCTCCTAAGATAGAAATCTTAAACAAGGGGCCGAACTTCACATTGCACAACGAAAGCTGGTAAGACCTTCCTCGGGTATCATAAATCTAGTAGAGTTAATAAACGACTGAAAATAACTCTGTGGTCCTTTATTTCAAGTTTGACAATCGTTTGACCGAAGCGTGGCCGAGGAGATGTCATGTGGTCTCTGTTGAACACATTATTGTAGAGGAAACGTTACAATTTGTAATAAAAACCACCCTGATTTCGAGCAAATATCAACAATGAATTGTTTTCTTAAAATTAATCGTTTCAGCTTGCTTAGTTTCCATTTTCTGTTGATTGATTTGCTTGTGTGATCATCTTCTCCAAACGGTATCGAACCGGGGAGCTAGTCGAAAAATTATAGGCGGCGACCGCTGTCATTTTTCTTGCTAAATGCACGCGCTGGCGTCAGTTACCGATCGTGACACTTTCTGAGAATAAAATGGCATGATCCTTGTGTTCTTTCGATTTACCAGATATGGTAGAAGTAGACAGTTTTTAAACGAGCAAATCAGGAAGAAAGCAGAGGGGATAGCGCCCAAACACGGAAATTGGCAGCCATGTCGTTCTCCCTCAATTTGTTAACGTGAAGAAGAATGAAATTTAATATTGTCAGGAGTTAACAAGTTTCAACCGAAACCTTTACTAAATATATCTTGTAAGACGTTTTGGTGTGTAGTATCGCTACGTATTTTAACGAGTTGTGCCGTATTTTTACGAGCCCGTAGGGCGAGTCATAGTACAAACAACGAGTAAAAATACTCAGCGATACTACACACCAAAACGTCTAATAATTTTTCTTTCCAAAACGTCTAATAATTTTTCTGCTAAGTCTTTGTTTATTTCTCATAAGGTGGAAAAAGAAAAGCGGATAGAAGCGTAGCGCGCAGTTGTCTGGTTAAATAGATTTTTTTACAGTACAAAATAACCAACTGTCTAAATAACCGTACAATATCGCAGGATATTTGTATTTCTATTCGCGCGTTATTTGTACTCTTCTTTATGCAGTTGGATAACAATTGAAAAATATTCCCATCGTGAGCCGTCAGACGCTTAAGCCTAAACTGGTTTAGATTGAAACGGTTGTTTCCAATAGCACACGACCTCAGATGCTGGTGGAAGATTCATCTACAACTAAAAAATCCTGCCCACGGTGCGAATGCAGATCGATAATTACAATAAATTGTCGTTCCACTGACCTCGCAGGGTGATACATAGATGCGCGTCTTTCACACGTTGTCGCCAATCTGTAAGAAAAAGAACCATACTTCAGTCGGTATTCAACGCCAAGGCAACATCAATTGAGAGAGGCTATTACCTCCTCGTATATAAATGGGCCTATTCCAATAATGTTTTTTAATCTGATTTTGGCGGGTAGTTCTATTTCGCCGAATAGTACCTCATTGGTCATGCATAGTCAGCCTTGATAATATAATAAAATCTAACAGTTTGAGGGTTTTGTACATATGTTTACAATCTGCCAGCTTACTTTTTCAACTATCAGTTCAAGCATTAGCTGACTTTTCCTTGGTACTGGATTTTGTGACAGTGATATGAAAACTAATAAACAATTTGAACTTTAAAAACATACCTTTTCTCATGCAAAGTTTGCTAAGTCGAGGCTTTGACCCAAGACCTGCACAAAGAGACATCAGATTCACTTGGAATCTTATATCTTTTATTACAATTTACCAAAAGCTTTTAACGTTACAATTCTACAAAAACTAACCACACCTGCATACAATACTAACACATTTCTAACCAGTATCCTCTTTGTATCAACCCTTTGACTCCTAAGAGTGATTAACATCTAATTTCTCTTCACAATAACAACTCTGAATTCACGAGAATAAAGGAAATAATCACCAACTAGAAAGATCTTGATTGTTAAACAAATTCTCCTTGTCGGCACCTCAGGAAATGTATAGAGAACAGCAAGGAGAATATGCATACTGATGTTAGGGAGTAAAGGGTTACTAGTAACTGAAACCTTCTTACCAGTGATATGTATGTTTCCCACTTTAAATCCATCGTTAGATGCTTTAAAGATAAAGACACAAACATGGTTATTGCATATAAATTATGGAATTAATAAAATTTGAGAATTTGACTTGAAATTTAAATGAACTGAAAAAGCATAGTTATGTCTCATTGAGTCCAACTGCATAATCGCTGTATCTTTGATAGTTGAGAAAGAGACTACGTAAGAATTTCAATACCTCTATCGAGACTTGCATCATTCTTTATGGCGTCAATCGAGCTGCTTTCAAAGGAACCTAGATAGAAGTAGTTTTGTTTGGTCTTCGATGTCAGTTTATAAGTTTGATGAACAAAATTATTTTATACAAGATTGGTTTTTTAGATTCTGAATTTCAAGGCTTTAAGCAAGAAACGACAAGGAAGGAGACCTGTTAAAATTAACTTTGTGGAATTCGTTAGGGGAATTATGGAAAAATATTTAATTTGATCGATAAAGCTATCATTTTCCTCTCCAGTTTCCTTGAAGGGTTCTAACATCCTCTCAGACACTGCACTGAAATGTTAGGCACGTCTTGCGTGCCATGGAAACTTTTCATTTCTGAACAGTCTGGAATATAGACAACAAATACAACAAAGTAGCAAGTAAAAAAGTATGATATTGAAATCACATTTTGGTAAGCCGTGCCCCCAAAAAACTCTCTCGTGCATAACATTTCTTATTTATGTCAAAAATTCGGATTACCACATTTATTCACACTTAAAGCTAAACGTGGGTAGGCGTAAGAAACTATTTTCTTCGACTAATTCTTAAGGAGCACTTCATAAAGCTGGAATTAAACGGCAGTTTCAAGTTTCCTTGAAGGGTCCCAACGCACCCCTTAACACACTGTACTGAACAGCGAGGCAAATCTTGCGGCCTAAGGAAACTTTTCATTTCTGAACGGTCAGAAATATAGACCTAAATTTTCCCCACCTAGATCTTTCACCTTGAGTATTGAGTTTTCAAGTTGAATTTTTCATTTTTAGTGTAGCTGACGGTTGGCGTGATTTTCCAAAATGAACTTACCATTACTTTTTTCCGGTAGTTTTTGAGGTTCGTCTGCCTTGATAAGGTCATTCAATAGAGGGTCATGGACTGTTTTTTGACTGTTGAAGTCAGGATTATCTCCACTGTAAACTTTCGATGAGTGAATTTCATTTGAAACAAGAACTACTCCGCATCTGAAGAGTGAAAACGATGGAATTTTAACTTTAACACTAGGTGAGTGAGCCATACTTAGTTAGTCAGTCACTGAGTCAGTGAGACAGACAGTCAGTGAAGTGAATAAAGGGGTAATTTATCAGGAAACTTTGGTGCTGCGTCGGCGGGAGGGGGGGCGTGTAGCAAGATAAGTTGATCTATGAACTGGGTTGATAAAGTAAGTCAGCCACCGTCAAGAATTTCAAAGTTGACGTTTCGAGTATTAGCCCTTTGTCATAATGACTGCCATCCTTGAGAATACTTAACATACGTCCGAAATTTGAAATTGTCGATCACAACTATAGTCATTGGATTCAAGTGAATTTTATCCCTTACTCAATTGTGTGCAATAGACACATGTGCGCAATGGGAACCTGTTTCAAAAGAACTTCGCATGAGGCTTTAAATTACCAGCTGGTTGTTTACTATTTTTTTTATCAATTTTTACCAATTGGTGTTTATATTTCATGGTGGTATCAACTATCAACATTTAATTTTCAACCTTTTCCGAGATTTTCCAGCTTCACTTGATCGGACCGACGACATATTCCTCTATTGCAGATGTTTTGTAAGCTAGGATTGCTAGCTTGGTCCGACTTATCCGATGATGTAACATTAAATTCGTAATCGATGAAATTGTTATACTTTCTTCTCTCGCGCGTGTAATAATTACCTGCATGCCAAGCAAATGAAGCCAACTAGGTGTGTATCATTCTTCCGTCACAATGATGTTATTGCATTTGTCTCAAAATATTCGCATGCGCAGAACACTCCAGAATTCAGGCGGCGATGTTTTTTTTTCCCTTAATACGCTCTTTACTGGTCGTGGCTTTGTCGATGATCAATAACAGAACTAAATTATCTTGCTTCAGAGAAAAATGATGTAACAAACCTAAATCATGATGTTCTCACTCTACGATCAGCGATCATTGCAAACAACATTGTTGAATCACTGGAAATCAGATTTTTAAAAATAAAATTTCATTTGCGAGGTACTCTTCTTTTCAAAAATTAGATCACGCAAACTTCACCGTTTCTTTGTTTACTAGATGTTTACAAAACCCTTCCTGATCACAACTAAATTTTTTTGACCTACCGATATCATTTCGTAGTAAAGGGATCATAGCACTCTTTTAGTTGTCACGTTCCCGTCTGCTGTGAACTACATTTCTTAATAAATGGAAAACTGGATGGTAAAAAAATTTTGTTTGTTGCTCATAAACGGGCAAAAATATGTCAAAAGGTTTACTGAAAGTAATAGCAACATTTCATTAGCCCTAAAAACATTGTCACACGGAGAAATGGTATGTCCGAGACTAAGTTTGCGAACAAGCATGTTTAGTGCTTAACTAGCCATACTCTTAAGACGTTCTTCCTTGAGCTTGGATGTAAATCTTATTTTCTTGTTGTAGCCTAAATGAACCTTGTTAAAAAATCACAAATAAATGGCTGTTTGAAATATTCATTCGGCCAGAGAAACCGTTTAATTTATAGAGAAAAACAACTCCTTAGAACGAAAAAAAAAAAAAAGGTGGTTCTAAGCAGGTTCTATCTCTCCAAGTCAGTGATGTCAATTTCTTTCGGTCTCGTTTGCTAACTTGACATCTTGTGTTGCTCCCCTCACCTGATAGGATTGTTTAGCCAATTTCCACAGATTTTTGCGCGAGTCTTTGAATGAAGTGAAAATGAAATTGAGGCTTCTTAAGGAATGTTTCAATTTTGGGCAGTGTGAAGAAGTTTCAAATACAGCTACTTCAATATACATACTTCGAAAGATTTTTTGGCTTTAAAAACCAGATCACAAGCCAAGGATAATCATTGCTACTGGAGCAAAATCATTGCTGAAAAATTGTTGGAAGGAATTCTGCACAAAGACATATTAAAGAACGCTAGAAATCTCAAATTGTCAACACTTACAGGAGCAGAAGGTGGATCCTCATGCCGGGATGGACGGACAATGTGTCCGCGTTCACGATTCTCGACTCTTATCAATAGAACGATTCCCACAAATATTGAATTTATTGTTTATGAAGTCACAGTTCAAAGATGACATTACAGTTTGGCCACTGTAACCAGAAACAATGACAAACCAAGTGCTTTAACAAAAACAAACAATTGTTGCTCGAGAGGTAAGATTCCAGGAACACCACACGTTTCGATAGTAAAATTGTAAGTGACTAGAAAGAAAATGAAAAAAATTTTTTCCTACAGGAAAGCGCGTAGAAATCATTTTCAAAAGCCTCAGCCATGCCATACTAAGGATGAAGAGCAAGGAATTAGCCTTTTGTTTGTATTTTTTAGAAAAGCTGTTGATTTTAAGATATTTTGTTGGAAATGTGGGTGGTAGCAATCTTTCGATCAGGGAAATTTCGCGGTATCTATCACAGAATGCATAAATTAGGCCATTATTTTCCCTCTAAGCCATTACACAATAGAGGGAAATATTCAAAATATCGTACTAATTCACACTTCAAACCCAAACTTTCACTGGTTAAAAATATTTTTGTAGTTTTTTGTTTTTTTTTCCTTCAATCATGGTTCATCATGGCACGTTTACACCCCGATTTCTGACCGATTTGGCTTCATGATTTCAGGCAAAGAGTTAAACAACCACAACAACGTAGCAAGTAAAATAGTACGATATTGAAATCACAGTTTGGCAAACCGTGCCCCCAAAAGACTTTCTCGTGCATGACATCTCTTATTTATGTCAAAAATTCGGTTTACCACATCTATTCACACTTTAAGTCAAACGTGGCTTAGTGTAAGGAAAACTATTTTCTTCAACGAGTTTTTAAAGAACACTTCATAGAACTGGGATTACACGGCATCTTCAACAACAATTTAATGTCTCCTACCACATACTACAATAACCCTTACATTCGTAAGGTTTATTATAGTATAACCCAAGAAACACGATAGAAGGAATCTCAGTTTCAACTTAAGAATTTTATTTGTATCAGACCAGCACAGTAATCATCAGGTAACAAACTCAACTTTCCGAAACAATGGTTTGAATCTTTAGATTTTATTTACTGAGTCCCTTGAGTCTGTGAACGTATGCGCGTCATAATTTACGATAATTAGGTTGTTTAAAACGAAGCGATGAGAACTCGGCGTAGAAAAAATCTACACAAACTATAAAATAGGATATGTATCGGTTATATAGTTAAAGTTTTGACCATCGGTCGCGAGACTTGTCCAAGATAAACTTCTTCACCACGCTTCAAGCTGGGCAAAGAAATGGCTACAGTTAGACAAGGTTTCCATGTTTCTTCCCGAAGATAACGTCACATTTTACATTCTATAAACCACATACAAAAGAGCAGTCATAGAGCAATGGATGGGGAGGGTGTGTGTGTAAGGGGGAGAGGGGTTGGGGTAGGAATAAACGGGCTAACGCTCTGTTCAGAGACAGGCAAAGTTACAGACCCTCCGTTGAGTACCAAATGTAATTTTTGACCAAATATCAAGTAACAGACTAGTTTATTTACTCCATAAAGCTTGCACAAAAAGTATATCCCGCGTGGAGTATTAAATATGACGTTTGACACAACATTCAGTATCTTCCCTGGTTTTTCTATTGATTTCCATTTATTTGTACGTTGCCGTGAGATTATACGGTGAGCAACCTAGATATCTTCAGGTGTAAGTAGTTTATTTTCGACATGTCTCATAATTTGCCAAGAACCAGTCGCAGGTGTCTTTGATGGCTGCAAAATAGTGAAAAATGAATATGCTTTAACGTCAAAAATACCAAACAAGAGAAGCAAATAAAAAGAAGGAAGCTTAAAAAAAGCATGATCAGCATATGCCATAAATGTTAGATTAAGCGCCCAGGTACTTATTTTCATTCAGTTCTAAGACAAAAAGGAGAACGGTGATTAAAAGGGAGCACTTAATGTTCCTTTGTTCAATTATTTTTTTTATTTCTTGTAAACGCAACATATAGAATAAAAGAAGAAAACAGTTTGGCAACAAAATTCTGTGGTACTTGAGCCTAAAAGTTACTTAATTGAAGTGGCTTTTCAATCATGCGGAATTTCCTTGAGGAAAATAAGAGATAAACGTGTACCGCTTAACCCTCAAACTCCAAAGATCTGACTCTTAATTCTCCCCTCTAGCTGCTACACATTTCCTTTTAAATCAGTTATAAGAATTTGGCATTAGATCAGGAAACATTATCTTCCTGATAAGTTTGAGTACTCTCACTACCTGTTTGCTGGATATTGCACAGATATGTTAGGGAGAAGTTCTATGTTAATCACTATTGAGAGTTAAAGGGTTAAAATCCCT